TCAGATATCTCTCTCACATATCAGGCTGGAGTTGCAGTTTGCTTTTAATTTGTGGAAGTGTCTGCAAGTGGCATTCTCATTATGCATTTTAGGGAGGATCATGCAAGTAACAGGAGGAGACATGTTGAAAGGGGTGTTGTGAGATAAAAATGACTTTAGAAGAAGGTGTTGGTGAATGTTAAGGATAAGCACGAAGCTAAGTTAAGAAGAAGTCAGTACTGTCATTGCTGTGCTGGTTCAATTTTAATGGGAGCTGTAGTTTTTTGTATGCTAATAAATTCAAAATCATTGCATTTAACTTTGTTAAAATCACAACATTTCAACTTCTAATAGCAAATGCTGTAGTGGAGGCTAATGTCTCAGTGAACGGACTTAAATTCTGGCTAGCATCATTTCCTTGCGCTACTTTCTAATTGCTCTATTTGAAATCTTTTAATGTGTATACATTTTTTAATTTAGTTTTAATGCAAAATGTTTTAATATATAAACAAGTCAGTAGGGGGTGAAGTGTGAAGTGTGCTAGCTGTTTCCCCTGTTGCCAGTCTTTATGCTAAGATGAGCTAACCAGCTTACTAGCTGGAAGTAGCTTCAAATTAACTGTACAGATACGAGAGTGGTACCAATGTTCTCATCTAACTCTCTGCAAGAAATCAGATTTCCCAAGCATATTTCCCAGAATGTCAAACTGTTGATTGAAAACATTTTAGATTAAATACCACAAGGATCCTGTCACTTCACAAGCAGAGAAAAGAAACAACAGGATGGCTTCTTCCCTCGCATTTCCTTAAGAACAACAAAATAAAGACCTTCCTGTTTTATTATTATGATTTCTTTTTCATCAGCTGTACATGACTCACTCTTTGCTTCCTTGCACTCGTGGCCTTTGCATGTTTAGCAATGATGAGGTTTTATACCTATCTGTTGCTTTGATAAAAAACCTCTTCTGTTATGACCAGAGAGGAGCCACTGAAGCAGGTAGATACTTGTGTTAACGGTGCATCAAAAATAACAATCACTCAAGTGGATCAGCTAAGTGTGTGGTATTACGCATTCCATATTTTTGATAATTACAGTATCTAATGAGCTGAAAAACATGAAGAGTTTTGTTCCAAAATGTCACAGAAATACATGACCCTCCCCCCCAAAAAAAGCTTAACAGCAGAAAGAAAAAAACTAAAACCACATGATATTACATTTGAAGAATTGTTCATAGTTAAGTGCTCAGTTGACAAAATGAGTTAATTTTACCAAGTGGATCCTGTAAATTTCTCAGACGCTGAATGACAAACCTCAGGCAACGATTTTATGTTATGTTGTATTTGGAAATACAGCGTTTTGGAGTGGAACTCTTCACATCTCTTCCTTATTATCTTGACATGAATTCTCACAGTATCACAGTGTTGTCTCTGTTCCCCTTGGGACTATGTAAATCATTAATGAGCATTCAGTTATTTCAAGTATTTTATATGAAAGGCAGGATCAAATCCAACGAGTTACCCAAAGCATTGAGTTTTTTGTGTATTCTCTTGTGGTAAAGATAAACGCTTAAAGACATTATGACACAGACCGTGAGCATTTGCAGGGTATTGTAATCCTTTCATGGTGAGTTGAATATTGTTTATAAAGTTTTCTTTCTTTATTTCTTTTCTTGGATGAACTAACTGAACACTTTTTGAAGCAAAGTTGGCATATTACCATGTACACATGTTACAGAATATAAAAATGTGGTATAACAACTGCAGTATATAAAATACTGGTATTCCATGATAGATCTTTGTATTAATGTGACTCTCTTAAGAAAATGTCTTCAAACAATCAGACGATCTCCTTTTCCATTTTGTCTTGTCTTATAAAGATGTGTAAATTTGACAAAATCTTGTCTTCATCTAAATCTCTTAGAAAGCTCAACAGCATGCGTTCAGTGTGCGTTCTGTGTTATCTGCTGTTCTTCTATCTTCTTCTGAAGTGAAGTGATTCTGACCTAGTGATTTCATAGGTCAGAGGTCAGGACTGGCTGCAGATCAGCAGCTGTGAGGCTCATATGGATTTAGTGTTTTTCTACCTTAATATGTCACAGTGTGAAAGAGTATCTTGTTTCTGTTTCTGTAGCCCGATCAGTTTGTGTCCACTGATGACGGTATCTCGGAACTCCATTATGGATAAACATCCAAATTTTGGTGTCAAAAGTAATCCAGTTCATGTTTGTATATGCAGCTTACAACAGGAACTTAGTAACTAATGCAGCACAACTTTTCAAAGTGCTGATGCACCAAAAGGTAGCATATGCAGCCTCAAAGGCATACTAACCAGACACTATGGGGTGGATAAAAGTTCTTCCACCATGTCTGTTTATTAAGTAAAATTAATAATACAGTTAAAGGTGTGTATGATTTAGTCGCATCTAGCAGTGAGTTTGTAGACGGAAAACAACCAAATACCCCTCGTCTCGCCCTTCTCTTCCAAGCATGTAGGAGAACCACAGTGGCTGTGAAAAACATGAACCAGTGTTTGATTAGTCCATTCTGGACTACTGTAGAAACACAGCGGTTCAACTTGGCGAACTAAGAGGACGGCTCAGTCTAAGCTAACATAAAACACAACGATTCTTATTTTTAGGTGATAATGCACAAATGAAAATATACTTATGAATATTATATTTCATTTTGGCTAATAGATCCTCCTAAATGTTACACACTGGACCTTTAAAATAACTATATTACATTAAACAGGTGTTGCATGTAACATAACTTCAATTAAAATAACTTTACTTTGGGTTTCACAAAGGGCATAAACCCTGGTCTCCTTTGTCTCACTCCGGTTTTTGTTTGAACCACTCATCCATGCTACCACCTCCAGATTGGGACCCACTACTAATAATACGTCACCTGACGCGAATGGGTTTACATTGAAGTCTGCTGCGTCTTGTACAGACATTTAAGGGTATCCAGTGCGTCTGTGTGAGACGTCAGTATTTGACAAGCTGGGTATGACAACAGACTGGCATTATTCACTTCTTATAGAGAGGATTTTACCATGCTTGGAAGTTATCACACTAACAATAATTTGATCCACTGTATTACCACACTCACTTTGTAGATGCTACAAGATAATCTACCAGGAAATGTGCACTTTTATATATTTGATTGGCCAACTTGGTGCAATGCCAGATGAGGTTAGAATGTGCTGCAGCAAAGGTTGAACCAGGATAACCTCTGCCAGGTAAACTAGCATTTTATGTCCTTTTATTTCTGCTCCTCACATCTGATCTGCCGGAAGATTTCCTCTCAAATCTAACACCAATAGTAAAATGTATCCAGAGAACATAAGATCAGGCCTTGTGTAATTCATTAACTAGCTAGCCAAGCAATGGAGCAACTGCAGATTAAGTGCCTGGCTCAGAGGCACATTATGTCATTCTGGAGGGGAAAGAACATGTTGCTGGATTAGTTATTTAAACATGTTTACCTTTATTGGGATGCTGATAGTATGGAGACAGATACTAGAGGGAGAGGGGTATAACATGCATCAAAGGTGGTATTCCCAGCTGGATTCGAACCAGGGACATTGTGGTAAAATAGTCTGTGCCATTTGGTACCAGAATGCCCCACAAACCAGTTACTCTATATGAAATCACACCTTCATGTGAGAAACATGTATTGTGTAATGATCTTGAAATTGCTTGCGATATCTAATCCATCACAGTGAAATGTAACTTCACAGTCTGACGACGCACATAAAGTAACACAAGCCATCGAAGCTTTATCGTTGCTACGTGCTTCATTGGCGAGTGTCCACATATTAGCCGACAGCCATCCCATTATTGTTTTAGCTGCCCCCATACAAACAACAGGAAAATGGAGACACAGTCAGCGCCAAGGGATTTGAGGTCAGTAGCAGTGTGTTATGATGGTTGTACCTTAATTGTTTATTGATTTACAATTACACAGTGTTTGGTGTGTTTAGGTTTCTCTGTGAGCGGGTGTGTGTGTGTGTTTGTGCATGCTCATATTTGTGGTTTAGTCTGGAGTGTCAGGTTTCAAGTTTCAGTGTTCAGAAGGCAGCCTGTACTGTCAGCCTGAGAGGGTAAACAACATGTAAACACATCAGGGTCAAGCATTTGAACTAAAAGTCGTGTAAATACAGTTACATAAAATTCCTTCAGTGCTAATTTCTGCAGCAGCATGCCCCCTGCTCAACAGCTCTGACAATCAGTACTTTATTATTCTAGTTTTCAAATATTCAACATTAGTCATAAAGGCTAAATTATGTTCCAAACAGCAGATGCATTCATCAAAAAAATTAGCGGATTGCATTTTAATTTACCAGATTAAGAAAATAAAGTCTTACAACTAAAAACATTACATGTAAGAGAAAGTTGATTTAGTTATTTCAAAGTTTTTACATAATTTATTCATTGTTGTATTATCATTCAGTGTTAGTACTGTTTTGTTCACAAGTTTTCTTGTTTTAAGACTGGCCCATGTGTCACATTGTGCAATTAAGGCCTTTTGGTGAATCCACAATCAAACATTATTTTATGCATTTACATATACGACTGAAAATAAAATCTCAGTATTCAGTCATGGTGAAATTTATTATAGCTTCTATCTATGTGTTTTTTTAAGTTTATTTCAATATGAAAGTAATCCAGTGAGGAAGACCAGCCGAGGTCTCACCAGTCCAGATGTGTATGCCGAAGCATATCAGGGACAGTCCATAAGAGGTGCAGCTACGGCTCATTAAGTATGCACCCCCACCCTATACAGATATGTAAAGAGGAAAAAGGAGGAAAGCGCTGCACGTGCTCGAAGTTATAGCACTCACAATTTGGTGTTGTCTGTGGAGCAACAGGGTATAGGCTCAGAGATTATCTGCTGAAGCCTGCAGATATCTACCGAGTCCTTGTGAGGTAAGCTC